CGCAGCAGAAAAGGAGACGTGCCAGAGATTAAGCTGAGTCACTGGACCACACCCCACAGGCTATAAAAGGGAGGTGGTGGCCATTTGGACCTCTGTGACGGACAAAAGCTGAATCTCTGGCGAAGTAGTTTGCTGTGGCTTGAATTTCAAACTGTGTGTATTGTTTTTTGTTCTCTGAGTAAAAGTTCTTGGCAGGCAGCTACGGAGCTGCTGCCAAGTTTTCTTATCTGTGGATTGGAGTGTGGAGAAGTTATTTAACCCTCGGCTGGCTGTTTGGGTGTGTGTGTCAGACGGGGACAGAACAGAAGGGCACCACCTGTGGGACTAGGGTCCCACCCAGGGAGCCCCTCCCCCCATACCTGGCCAGCTGGGATCCGGTGCGCCGTCGGTAGCTGATGAAGACGTCCGTGCCGTCCAAGGCGGACTTCCGGCTGTTGCATGGCAGAGGCGAGTGAAGCATCTCTGGGCGGGACAAGGAAAGCAGCACGAAGGGCTGGGTGGGGCCCTTCCAGCCCCCCCCCAAAAGGCAGGCTGGGTTAGCCAGAGACACCCCCCCCCAGCTGCACCTCCCCCCAAGAAGCCAAGAACAATTAGGGATGTTCGGCTGAAGCTTGACCAGATGCACCTGGGGACCGAGTCCAGCCTAGGGTCAGAATTAATCCATGGGAGGGGGCTCAATTGGGATTCCTCCTCCAGGACCCCCCCAGACCCCTCCCTCCCCCTGGATCTGAGGATCAGGGAAGAGGCAGACGGGCTTCAGCAGCCAGCAAGGCCTGGAAATCTGGGGAGCGATGGGGGTCTCTGCTGCTACTGCTGCTGCTTGGCTGCCCCCCCCCAGAGTCCCCTTTGGAGTTAGGTATGTCTTGGGAGAGGCCAGCCTCCCCTGCCCCCCCCCCCGGAATCTGGGCCAGCTGTCTGTATCTTGACTGAACTGGAGTAGGGATGGCCAGTGGGGGGGGGAACCCTCTTGCCCCCGCCCCGCTTACCCCGCGCGGCGGAGAGGATGCGGACGCGGTGGAAGCCCAGGCCGATGCGGCAGTCGTCCTGCAGCTGCTGCTCCGTCACGCGGTGGAGGACGTGGCGGTCGATGCCGCAGGTGACCAGGTTGTAGGTGTACTGGCGGAACTTGGGGTCGACGCCGGCCAGCCAGTCGGCCAGGTTGCTGCGGTCGCAGGTGGAGTAGTTGGCGTAGGTCTTCAGCTCCGTCAGCTCCCGGAAGAACCTGGGGGGGAGGGCAGGGGAGGCTCAGCCTGGGGGAGGGGTGGTTCTGGCCGAGGCAGTAGGCTGGAAACCGGGAGACCGGGAGTTCCAGTCTCACTTTAGCCACGAAGGCCAGTTGGGTGACTTTGGGCCCGTCTCCAGGAGACGGGAGTTCTAGTCTGAAGCCCCCCCCCTCCCAAGGGAGGCCAGAGCAGGGCAGGCAACGGGTGCCGCTAATTTGAATGCCTGAATGTTAAGTGTAATGGAGAAAACCTGTGTAGAAATCCGGACTTGAGGTATTGGATGGGGAGGGGAAGTCCTCCCCCCCTTGTGCCCCCCCTCCCCTCCCGATCTCCAGCTGCCTCGGGTCCCCTCACCGCTTGCGGGAGATGCTGGAGCCCATGGCCAGGTCGGCCAGCAGGTCCTCCTCCGTCAGCCTCAGCAGCAGGTCGCCATCCACCTGGTGCTCCTGCAGAGGCAAGTGGAGCCTCAGCCCCTGGACCGGGCTGGCCTGGAGCCCCCTCCCTCCCTTTCCTTTCCTTTCTCTCTTCCTTCCTCTTTCTCCCTCTTTCTTTCTTTCTTTCAATTCCTTCCTCCTTCCTTCCCCTTTCTTTCTTTCTTTCTTTCTTTCTTTTTCTTTCTTTCTTTTTCTTTCTTTCCTTCCTTCCTTCCTTTCTCTTTCTTTCTTTCATTTCCTTCCTTCCTTCTCTCCTCCTTCCTTCCTCCCTTCATCCCTCACTCTTTTTCTTTCTTCCTTCCTCCCTCCTTCTTTCTTTCTCTTTCTTTCCTTTTCTTTCCTTCCCTCCCTCCTTCCTCC